AAACATCACACTCAGAGGTCAGTGTGCAGGAATTCAATGGAACAAAACCCAAAGTGTTCAAATTACTTGTGAAAAGATTCGTTCACACATGGTTTTAGATTGAAAGAGTTGTTTCTGCAAAAATCTTCTAATACATACTATAGAGTATATACTAGGACCCACCCCACTGAACAGTTTTAAAATAGAAATAGGGCTTCCCTGGTGGCGCAGTGGTTGAGAACCTGCCTGCTAATGCAGGGGACACGGGTTCGAGCCCTGGTCTGGGAGGATCCCACATGCCGCGGAGCAACTAGGCCCGTGAGCCACAACTACTGAGCCTGCACGTCTGGAGCCTGTGCTCCGCAACAAAAGAGGCCGCGATAGTGAGAGGCCCGCGCACGGCGATGAAGAGTGGCCCCCGCTTGCCATAACTAGAGAAAGCCCTTGCACAGAAACGAAGACCCAACACAGCAAAAATAAATTAATTAATAAACTCCTACCCCCCAACATCATCTTTTAAAAAAAAAGATAAATAAGCAGTATTTGGAAATAGTAATATTTCTCCAAGTACAAAAGAAATATAGTATAAATCCAGTCCCAACAGATAGAATGCTTTTTCAGCTGCAACAGTAACTTCATAAACTTAGCAACACACACTGCTTCTAAGACTGTACAGAATATAGTTACACGATTAACGCTGGAAGGATACAATTAGGAATAAAGAAGGAACACAAAGATACCAACCAACTATAATCCTATAAAACTGAGGTAAATGTAGCTTAGAGTTTCCTAAAAGTCATAGTAAAAAGGGGAGAACATATCAGGTTAAGTCATTTTCATTACATAAAAGTAAACAGGTCAGTTCCTCAAGGGAGAAAGTTTTTCATCATACTTAATACTGAAATAAAATTATCGTAAATAACAACAAAATAGGGCCAATGAAATACCGAGAAAAGATCGCAGCCCCGTGATTCCAATTTAAATACTATCAAACCAAAACGATTTGCTATCCTGAGAACTGGATCGCTGGATTTTTAAAATCTAAAGGGTCTGAAATCCTACAGACCTACCTTCAGAGCTAATTCTCAATAGGGATCTTTACAGGGAATGAGCGAACATCGGATGAAAGACAGGTTCAGCACGGTACCCTGCACTATTACAGAGGCCAGAAGAGTCAAATGCTGTCAGTCTTCCTCTTTGTCAAAACGTCCAATATCCATTCAACAGCTACTAATTTAACTTCTAAATTCAATGTTATACAGCCATCGCGACAGTTACAAAGTACTTTAAAAGTATCTGCAGAACTGGCTACAAAGACGCCCCATACACCCTCCCAGATCTGTCAACCTTGGGCCCTCGGTGCCCGCAGCCATCCCTGCGAGCGGGAGTGGAAAGCCCTGTGCGGACCGCAAAGCCGCGTCCGTCTTCGCGCGGCCACGCTAAACCCTGCGGAACAGAAGGAAGCGAGCAGCCAGGAGCGAGGCGAGAGGCCGCCGGAGGAGCAAGCCAGCGTGGGAGGTCCGTGCCCAGGTAGGGAGCTCACCTGGAGGGACCTAGTCACCTGGGAGGGACCGCGGGCGGGGCGGAGGACCAGCTGGGAGGGGGCTCACCTGCAGGCCGCCCCCAGGTGAGGAACACACGCAGACCCCGCCGTGAGGGGCGGCGGGCGGGTCGGAGGGCAGTCACCGGGTGGGGAGCTCTCCCGGCGGCCAGCCCCGGATGGGGACCGCGCGGGGGCGAACGGCCGCAGCAGTGGCGGGACCGACTCCGGGGCCACCACGTGGGGGTTCGCGCTCCTTCCTCCGGACTCCGGCTGCGCTGGGAGCTGCAGGGCGGTGCTGGACCGGGCGGAAGGAACGTGGGGCGGG